TTCCGGAAGAGAAGGATAAATGGACGGTTTTTGAAGACAAGGAGTCTTTTCAAAGTCTTCAGGTTCACGACAGCGTTGCGGGCGTCATATCTACTGATGCAGGTGCCCTGCATCCATACCGTCTCGTCACAGGCGTCTTGGAAAGGCTTCTCAGCGGATACCCAGAGTCGTGCGTTCCTTTCCTTCTCCTCCCTATGAAGCTAATTGTCAACGTAGATTCTACTTGTTTACGAATACACCATGTCTCTCTATCTCACCACCCTCCTCGGGTACGGACCATATCGTCTATACTTCTCGAGGCCCCATACGGACCCCACATGTAGTCCATGCAACCAATGCCTGGGCTTCACATCTTATCAAGCCCATGCGTCGCAAGATCATTCCCGCGCGCGGTACAATGACTGCGCAAAGACCTGGGACAAAGCTAGGTCTTGCCAACACACTCAATGGCGAATCCTGGAGCGGGAAACGAAGCTTTGTTTTCTACCCCTCGAAGAACGGCAACTTTGACTATCTAACCCAAATGCCTACCACGTCTTCTTCCACGTCCAACTATCCATCTCCATCGGCTGAGCTCATGTTTGGGGGAGGACTTCTTGACGGCGGCCTTGTCAACGCGAAATTGAGCAATATCGGGAATGTCGATGATACAAAGTGGGACACCAGCACTGAAGCGTATCTCTCTGGTGCACTCGCTTCTGGCAGTAATGGCGGTTACTTTGGAAGAAATTGGGGACAGGAAGGGCGTCCGGAAGATAGCGGTATATCAAGCTCGCTGTATAAAGATGAAGAGCTTGGCGAAGGCAGAGTTATCAAATCCTGGGGTGGTATCCTCAGTTTCTCGGCTGATAGAATGCCTTGGGTTGGTCGTTTGCCTGCAAAGATTACTGGGAGAAAAGGACGAAAGTTGGTCAGGTCGACTGAAAGCCGGGCTGCTGCTCCTTGGGCACGCGTAAGGGTGGTACCAGAAGAAGAGGGGGAGAAGGCTAGGGATGATATCACGCTCGCCGATGACAATTCGTCTCAATATGAAAGGCTTTCTTCGAACCAAGATCCTAATCCATACCTCGCAGCCCCTGGAGAATGGATTGCAGCAGGATACACTGGAGAGGGAATGACCCATGCGTGGTTGAGTGCCAAAGCACTAGCTTATATGGTTCTGGATAAAGAAGATTCTGATGAATTCTTCCTTCCCAACTCGTTTCGAGTCACGGAGAAGAGATGGAGAAAGGCGCGTTTGGAGGACCTGGTCTAACTGTAGTGTTTCCTCGACTCATGGTGATGTACCTATGTATGTATGCAGCAATGTATGTATTCCTGCACTTGTAATCGTGCGGTACTAGCTGATCAAGAACGCGTCGCTGCCTCAGCATTCATGGACCTCGTCAAAACAAAACTTGGGTTACAGCCACCGATAGTGGACAATTCGTGAAGTACTGTACATGCGATCTTTCTACATCGGATTTGGAACACCGGAAGTGATAAGGTAGAATTAAGTATGTGAAGAAAGTAAGAACGACAGAGACTGATAGAGTTGAATTCCAAGTCTAATTTGAATCTTCAACGGGAGGATTGAAAGCGACAAAAAGTCAGAACGTTGCCAATGAATCAGGAGAAGCACATACAACCGATTGCCGCCAAAATCAGCTGAATCCTTCGTTCCTTGAGATCCTGACCTCCTGGGACTGGGGTTTCGGGATAGTAGCCTTCACAATACCCATATAATTCATCCAACGTGAGGTTCCTGACATCGTTGACAGTCTCGACTCGAGGGAGGACAACCTCTCCATTCTAGACCATACCGAATCAGATCAATCAACAGAGAGAGAGAAATAAGAATAACTGGTGTGGCAACACGACTGCCCCAAGGCATAGAACCGTTTGGGAAAGGTACTTGCATAAACGGACCTAGTTCAGATCTGTTTTGGTTGTTGGACTATATCAAATAAATCAGGTGAAGGGGTAGCACAAAAGTCATCTTCACCTTGTAAAGAAAGATCTGGGTGGGTGTTAGGCGATCCTCCACACGTTGTACCAAGTCTTGTACAAGTTTCTTCGTCTCCTCCACCTTATCTTCCAACCTCTTCACGCTGTTCACAATTTCATCTTGAAGCCGTTTCTCCGACTCGTTAATTAGCGTCACCCAGGCTACATTGCAACGTTAGCATGTATGATACCAATGAAAGCCCGACTTACGTTCCGGAGTATTCATGACACAAAAATAAAGAACACGAAAACCCTAACCTTAGAAATACCGACGCGTTGTTCAGGTGACTTGGGCTGCTTCGGCCGGCAAGGACTCTGATTACCTTGTCTGGCATTTGTAACAATTACGCCGCTGAGCTTGAACCGATTAGATTGCCAAACCACTAGCACGGTAAAACTCTTAATGGTTGTGGGTACTAGTATGGAGAATGAATGACCAGTTTATCAGACGAATACTCAGTTTAAACGTCTTATTCTGATTCGAACAAAGAGATCTCGGATACAAACTCGTAGACCATTTTACTACTTGATTTTCCTTCTGCGTGTTTAAGGAGAATTGCAGGTAATGCCCGTAATGTTCTCAGCATTGATACAACTGTAGACGGGGTCGTACTCTTCCGGTGCAGTAACATTCCAATCGATAAAGTGGAAGTTTCTGCAAGGTGTGGAGGACGAGCAATTGAGGTCAACGAGCTATAAGACGGAATTTATTAGAGAAGACAGAATATCCAAGACAGGGTGCTCACAGTGCCATTGTACGTCCCCGACGAGTTACCTCGGAAGTCAATAAATGTAACATCTTCCATAAGAACTTTGGACGTGTTGCACAAGTCCGTAGTATCGATGTCTGAATATGTCAGACTGAAAAGCGTTTCAGCATCTCGAACAGGACCTAGCGATGAATATATGCAAAAACTAACCAAGTCTGGATGTAGACAGGTTGATCGGCAGCACGGAATTCAAAGTTCTCAAAGGTCAAGTTTCTGACAAGTCCGGCACCACCACCGCCGCCGTTGGGAGGAGTACCGATTTGCTCGCCGATCCAGTTCTTGAAATAAACTGAAGACGACGGTGAGAAGATACCCGAGATATTCACAAGATAACGACGTACCTGCACCGGTAAGAGAGACATTCTTGGTTGGGTAAAGGACGACATCCTTGACGGAGATATTCTGGACCTGTACAAAGCGTCAAAATCGAGCATCTTGGCATGTACAAGCGCAAACGTACATTGTCGAAACGGTCGGGGTACTAAATTCATTGGAATGAGCTTGGGTCACGGACGGAAACAAACACATTACCTGACCAACAGAGCCCACGGCAAACCCACGACTACCGATACAAGTGATGTTCCTTACGTCAATATTGGTCGAGTTCCCCTTGAAGGCTACACAGTCTTCGCCGTTTTGAATCTAAAAAATTTGTTGATAGAAGCGAGGCGCGATAGAAAATAGGTACATACCACCCAGTTATGAATGTTGATAGAATCAGAGCGGTAGGTGTCGATACCGTCAGTGTTGATCACTGGGCTCATTGCAGTCCTTTAGTTATCGAATGACGCTCGTGGTTTCTCACTCACCCCAATTGTAACCTGAGACAAAGTCAGCAAAACCCAGGAAGAAGGGTCAAGTAACGTACCATCAAAGACTGCATCCGGGTTCGCCTCTGGTTCTGACGGATCGTGGTTGGTAGCGTTGACATAAACACCATCGAGCGTGATATTTGAAGATTGAGAAACGAACACAGCCTATGCAAGATTATACGTTAGGCTGGACAACGTATCTTGCAGAACGGATATACCCAGAATTGAGGTTGTATGACGCTGAAATCTTTCACGAGGGAGTCTGACGCATTAAAGACATACAAGGACATGGGTCGTCCGGGTTGGTTGACAACACCTGCCGCCCTGCTGTACCAAGGCTTTGTACGACCGTCATTTAACGAATGAGACCAAAGATTGATTTGGATACTCACTTGTCCATTTCCGTCAATACCACCTTCTGCAAATCCACCACCGTTCAAGGTCCAGTTGGACCCGGTCATTATCCAAGCGGTCAAAAGATTCTGGAAATCAGTCATCCAAGAGTTGTTGATCCAGTATTCCAGGTCGTCGCTAAACTAGAGAACTGTTAAAAAAGATTGGCACTGTGACATGACGCATCACCCACTAGAAGTCTTCCGAATATATTCAGATTCTTGTTCGTCAAGTCGGTATAGAGGCGTTGTTGTATAGAGTAGGTATATGGCTTAGGAAGCGTAATAGTCGTACATTCAGTCGCGTTAATGGCTCCTTCAAACTGTTGCGAATCGTCGCGGCCATTGCCAACTAAAGCAGTATTTTAGTTAAATGTAACAGAGGATGTAAGCCGTATACGCACATGGTATCAGGGTACAAGTACCATTTCCGTCCGAGTCGTATGCAAGCACCGACTTTGTGAGCGCGGCGGACAAAAGTGCGAGTTGGGAGAGGTATTTCATGGTTGTAAAGGCCAGGGCCCAAAGAACAGAAGACCTCTCCACCAGCCTTTAAGTACGCATCGCGTAGAACGACCACGGGACCATATTCCGTGGAAGAGGAGAGGGAAATGTGACGCAAATTTCGTTATGATGCGCGACACGGGTCTTATTCTCGTTCTTCAAAAACTGATGTACCGATGCACATACCCTCTTCTTGCCTTTCTACTGTTTGAATGTTGATTGAAGAGGACGGACATACGGACCGTGCTCAGGAACAACTCGTCATTTTGAAAATTTCTTCTCCACAAAAGTCGTCTCCAAACCAGAATTCCGAAATTCCGTCAATACCGAATTCTCCACGTTCGAAATCGAAGTCTTGCGGATTTATATCCTTCCGAAGTTGATGAGAGGTGTTTCTGGTCATATTCCTATTGGGTATTTCAGGATGGATGCAGTAGAAGATAGCAATGGTCGGTGAAGTTGAGAATAAGCACGAGAGGCCTTGACTGTATTTGATTCTAATTCGTCGTGATTATTTTTGGCGCCCATCAAGTCAAGCCACTGTAGCACAATGGTAGTGCGTTGCTTTCCTAAGGCAAAGGTTGTGGGTTCGATCCCCATCAGTGGTTCTCGGGATCTGAGATGGCTCAAATGAGTTTTTTTGACTGATTCGTAGGTGGTCGGTCATTAGGTAGCTTATTCTTACAAACTGCCTTCAATCTGTGGTCCTCACCAAAGCCATTAAACTAAATCCCACGCTATTCTCCTGCTCAATCAACTGCTTGACTAGCCCTCTTCCAGCTTCACCAAATATATCTTCACCATCAGCAACAGCTACTCCTGTGTCTACCGGTCCCTTTCTCATACCATCCAGTTGGTATATGCGACCATTTTTGTGGGATTTGACAAAGGCTAGATAATGGTAATCGACGCTATCTTTGGGGTCAGGTGCAGTAGTTACACCAGATTTTCCGGCATGCAAGTGAGCTGCCTCCACTTCTTTCGAATCCTCGAGCGCTAGAGCTCGTTCTTCTGGTGCCAAAGGTGTGATTTTGGCAAGAAGTTGAGCAAAATCAGAGTCCGGAGCTGTTCCGTGGACATCAACAATGAGCAGCTATAAGCGGCTTCATCTACCTACTGACGAACTCTCTTGCTGGCCCATTTGAGATCGAGTGCAAAATGGCGTATAAACCGCAAGCATTGCCAATGGTTTGCTTGTACCAGATGACATCTTCACCATCACCGCTGCCAGTATAAGTTTGCATATGGCGGTTTTGTTCCTCTAGCTTCTTATAATAGTGCTCGCCAGGGGCAGGGAAGGCGAGGGTCAAAGCCAGAACGGGACGAGGCATCATAGCTATCAGATCTGGTTCATCGAGAGACAGAACATCCGTAAACTCAAGGGCTGAAGAGACACCAAGAGTGTGGATGAGCTGAGTAAATACTTCAGGGTTTGATTCGAGAGGAATGTAATGTTTTCGTCTTTCTGACATGGACGTAAACTTGCAAGTCGAGATGTCTCAAATAGGCAGGCGTACAGGATTTTCCAACACGCGCAAAGCGTGTTCATTTTTCCTTTCTACCTCCATCCACCATGTCGAGACAGGACAAGGCAACCACTGACAGACATGCACGCACTCTTAGAGACCTGGTCAAACGCCCGGAGAACAAGGTCTGTGCGGACTGCAAACGCAACGGTCAGTTTTTGACTTTCATTCTGCTGTTTCTGTTCACGAGACTTGCCATAGATCCTCGATGGGCTTCTTGGAATCTGTAAGGGCTTCTGTTTTTCGCCAGTTTAATGTGGAGTCTAATTCTGCTTCAGCGGTGTATTTCTTTGCATAAGATGCTCGGGGATCCATCGTAGCATGGGCACGCATATTAGCAAGGTCAAGTCGATAGATTTAGATATGTGGACTCCGGAGCAAATGGAGGTTCGTTTACTTGTCTTGGTACTCCTTCAGGCTCGCCCTTACCTTGACCTGCTCCAGTCAATCCAAAAATGGGGAAATCATCGCGGTAATCTCTACTGGGAAGCCCATCTTAAAGCAGGTCATGTTCCACCAGACCAGTGCGTTTCAATTTTCTCTCGCTCTTCGGCCAATTAACAAGGCTCTATAGTAAAATCGAATCCTTCATCCGTTCCAAATACGAATCCAAACGATGGGCCAAGAATGGCCCACCTCCCGCGGATCCTTCCACATTGGAAGGCGACGCACCAGCACCAGCAGCCGAACCGGTCGCCCAGCAATCTTCCTCCCCTCCTCCACGTGCAGTACACGCTCCTACATCCAGTATCTCCAACAGACAAGCTACCTCGCCCGTTACATCAAGACAACCCCAGGCGCGCCAACTCCTCTCGTCTACACTCCTCAGCCAATCACCGCCGCCTCGCGCCAGCCAAGCTCCTGCTGCTCCTCCAGCACCAGCACCAGCACCGGCCCCGGCCCCTGCTCCCCAGAATGACCTTTTCTCACTCGATTTTCACTCTCCTGCTTCTACTCCGGCTCCTTCAGCCTCACCTCCACCCAGAAAAGATATGAAGCAGGATATAATGTCTCTCTTCTCGACTCCTGCCGCTCAACCTCCTGCTGCAGCCGGTGCTGCTTTTGGTCAATTTGGTGGTGCTATGCCTGGCATGAACATGCCACAAGCAGGTGCATGGGGTAACGCAACAAATCCTGCTGCGATGCAAGCCTCTCAGCCCCAGGCCGCTACTAGCATGATGGGCAACAGCGGTACAGGAATGTGGGGTGTTAGCTCGGGCTGGAATGGTGCCGGATCAGTCGTTCCTCCTGCTCAGCAGAACGTCTGGGGTGCTCCTGCACCAGTCCAGCAGCAGCAGCAAGCTCAGCCGAATTTGTTTGCGAGCAGCAATGATATCTGGGGTAACTCGAATGCTGGTGCTGCGTCAATGGCCGGAGGCAGTCAAGATTTGTTTGGGTCTTTTGGTACCGGTGCGCCGGCAGCACAGAAGAAAGATGACGCGTTTGGAGATCTTTGGGGAGGGTTCAAGTAGATTGGCTGCAAGAGTATTGGATATCGATGTTTCTTTTGTATCACCTCTTTTCTGTTTCGTTCGCACACATAGTTGATAATGATGAAGTGGTCTGGATTCTAGTGCTTGCCAACGAGTACATTATTTGTGCTACTTAGCGTTTTGACCAGTCTCTTCCTCTCGGATATCCTCCCAAGATTTCCCATCTCTTCTATCGACCTCTTGCCCTTTGGGTTGACAATCCTTCCAAGTGGTATACACCGTCCAACCCATGCTGGCAATCTGCAAATTGAGAACAACCAAACCCGAGTTTTCTACGTTGAACGTCCATGGATCTCAACCTCTCTTGTAAGCCACCCCGTTGTCTGGAATCCAAGCCAACTCAACTCTCAACACGACTACCAGAACACCTTCCCTTCCTCATGCTGGGCTTGTGACACTGATGAACCCCTTTCTCTTTTTCGCTAACACTTCACGAATAAATTTGATCTTGGCCCATGGGGGTTGGTGGTGATGGCATTGCGTAGCGCGAACAAGTTGTTTTCTGTCGACAACATTTCCTGGCTCTTCTAGCAAGGGTGTCAAACAAGGACGGTCTCGAACGAGGTAGCCCATCTAATGTGATACTCAAAGTACATTCTAGGAGTTGGGAGGATTGGAGCCGTCACGACCATTAATAAAGAGATCATCAAGGTCTCTCCGAAGCAACCACGCAAGGTGTGAACGCCACACAAGGCGGCAAAGCCGCATACAAGGACAATGCACCTGCCAACAAATCCGCAGAAGTTCCATCTTCCGCAAGCACATCCACTTCCATGTCTCGGAAAATGAGGTCGATATAGTCAGCTGCACCAGACATGTGGGCGACTTTGCAGGCAGTGGCATGGATGTGAAGGTAGTTTGGATTGGGTAGAGGCAAGTCCGATTCCGCGACATCCAAGTCCGGATTCAAAACTTTGTGAATAGATAAATCCGCAGAGAAAGTAATATCTCGCGGCACACCCAAGCGCTTGAATGCTGTATCAGACGTCACAATGTTGTAGTGATAAGGGATCTGCAGAAGGCAACATCATCAAGTCATGGACATATGGATTCATGAAAGAGACATACACCATCAGGGGCGGGCTCAAACCAAAGTGACAACTTATCCATTAGGTGATGAATTGAATGATCCAGTGTCATCACGTTGCCGAGTTGGTGGACTTTGTTGCCGTCGAGTTCATGCGAAATGCCTGGGAAGCCAAAACGCTCTAAGATGGTCCAGAATGAAGCAGCGTTATCGAGCTCTCAAGGCGTCAGGCCCAATTGTAAGATCATTGAAATAGTTACTTACTTTGTGTAACTCGGTTGCGGCAGTGCACGATGTTCCGTTGTTGGTAGACTGTGGAAAGATATGAGCGCACTCAGTTGTGGTCGATGGGTCATCCGGCCAGATTTCATCGACAAACTTCTTCAAGTCCCCAATCGAGTCAATAGAATCTTGGTCAAGCTTGTGGGTAACCATACAACGGAAGCCATCGCGAATTAGAGCCTATGACAGACGTCAGTGATTCAAAACCTATCGACAGGGCTAGTACTAGTACATTTGCCTTCGCTTGTGAATAATTTTCGGGACGCGGTTTGACTAAAGTTGTCTTGATCAAGTCACGCAATTTGTCAAACGAAATATGTGGCGTAGAGATAGGCGTCCTTCCTTTATTCTTCCGGACTAGAAAATAGGTAGAAGATCCAATGCAGAAACTTTGAAAGGAGGACATACAAGGTCGGATCAAATGTCCCATATACATTTTCCCAAGCGAAAAAATCTTCTGCGAAACCTCGTCATTGCACTTCTCGTTTATAGAGAGCACCTCGCTGGTGACTGTCTGGCGGGAGGTATCATTGACGGGATAAAGGAGGAGATAACCGACAACCCGAGCGCAAACTAAATCGTCTTGTTTCGAGGAAGACTCAGCTAGGGCCTCAGCCTTTTTCACCACCACGTAGGCATTCCTAGTGTCTCCCGGGAGGTTATCAAAAAGTTCTGGGGATGGGAGTGTAGTCATTCTGCAATTTCGATTTGGAAAGGAAAGAAAGTTGACAAGGTAAGATTTCAGACTCCATTGGCTAGTTTTGATCTCCGACACGGCTGACTTCGGCTACTTGCAATTAGATGTTTAGGCTAGCAACAACCTAGTCTACAGACTCTCGACCTATCCTGCTGCAGCCGCTCACCCTCAGGCCGCTACTACGATGGGCAGCAACGGTACAGGAATGTAGGATGTTAGCTCGGGTTGGAACGGTGCCGGATCAGCCGTTCCCCCTGTCCAGCAAGCTCAGCCGAATTTATTTGCGAGCAGCAACGAATGGGGTAACTCGAATGCTGGTATTGGGTCAATGGCTGGAGGTAGTCAAGATTTGTTTAGGGGTCTTTTGGTACTAAGATGGCGCATTAGGGGATATTTGGGGAGGTTCAAGACCGACCTATTGGATATCGATGTTTCTTTTGTATCATCTCTCTTCTGTTTCATTCGATTTCATCCGCACAGATAGTTGATAAGAATGAAGGTTCAAATTCTAGTCCACGACAGATACATCATTTCCGCTACTTAGCGTTCTGACCAGTCTCTTCCTCCTGGATATCCTCCCAAG